AACCTTACCAAGTACAAAATAGCTCCACTAAGGACACAACACCATATGCATGTCATTAAATGACAGGAGACATTGTCATGAATATTGAAGGAGGGATCCAGGAAGTGAAAAAAACATAGAAACAACACCTCCTTTAGCTGATCAGTCAATTAACTAAATTGGTCTTTATTGTTCTTTTTGTCTTCATCTTTTAATTGATCATCAGGATTGGGTCAGTTTCGGACCCAGACATCCAGAAGGCCTGTTGTGTTCGGGTGGGATTTGGTTAGTTTTAACTCAGACAGGTTCAGACAGAAAATTTTAGCCTGAGCCACATTCTAGTGCAAACGGGTCGACTGATTCTATGCCCTATGATAAACACTCTTAATTAACAGAGTGGGTGAGAACTATGATCTCCATCAGTAAAACCATGTGAAATGTACCAGTGTGATGTGATTCCAAATTTCCCTGATTGTCACTTGCAGGATTTTCACTCTTGAGGGAGACTATTGTTAACCTGGAAACACTGACCTCTCTTTTATGTTTGTCTCAACCGAATGATTTGTACTTGCATCCTGGCTTTTGATCTCTCTTTCTTTGTCCCTTGAAATGTGTTATTAAAAATAGTTCAGGTCAGTAACAGGAATTTACTTAACGCAACAAAAGAATGTGGAACAGTTGAGGGAGGATGTCGATATGTATAAAGGCCACTGGTCTTTTGCAGACATGTGTGCACCCTTGATAACATTCCTCTGTGCTCTTAAGCACCTCCAACCTCCAGAGGGTTGATCCTCAGTGGTGGTGCAGCAGATGCTGAGAGATGGAGTCCAGGAAAATGGGGCTGTGGTTGAGGAAGGCATTTCCCTTGCATTACAATGATGGTCAGTCACTTGGGCTGTACACACACACACACACACACACACACGATTCATACATGTACAAAAAAAGTCACTGCATTCTTCTGCCTCAACCAACCAAGTAGCTGTCAGACACTACGTCAGCTCCAGAAGAATTCTGTCTATGTGTGTGTGTTCCTGTGAATGTGTTTGTCATATTTATCACAAGCTCAGGCCTTTGTATTACAGCAAATGTAGTAGTATTTATAAACGCTTAAACATGCAGACGTTTAGAAATTTCGCCCAAACTTGGTGGAAGAATGTGGTGAGGATCAGAGAAGAACCCATTGCATTTTGGTACGGATATGACTCATTGGGTGGATCCAGGATCTAATTTTTTTTCACATTTTTAACATTGCGAAATTGGAGGTTTTTAAACATTTTTCAATATAATTCATGGATGTTGATGAAAACAACGAGGCCCATTTACGGAACTGATATATAAGAGCGTATGAAAGTTTGCGCTGCTTGATTGAATTTTATGGGTTGAGTTTATGGTTAGACCTTGACGGAGGTATGCTCTCAACTACTATAAGTAATGTTTTTCTCATCTCCTTAACGTTACATTCATCCACTGAGGGTTTGATGTTTCACACTGTATTTTTCTCTGTAACTGGGATACAGTGGTGAACGCGACCTTCAGAAGCATTTTTGAGTAAACCCTCTGCTGATGTTAGTGTTTGAACCCAGTACTTGTGGTTCCACAGTCTACAGCCATTTAAAAAAAAAAGAGACTGTTCTGCACTGTTATAGGCAAAGCTTGTTCGGTAGGCAGAAGATTTGGCAGGAGCCACGGCGATTGTGGGTGGACAACATTTTTTTTTGGGATACACTTGGCGGAGAGAAAATGGCAAGAATGCAGGCACTTAAACAGATGAAGCGACGGTCGAGTGGACAGAAGTATGCATGGTGTAATCATGCCAGATTCTAGTCGAGTACAGAGAAACGCTCACACACAGGGGACATTTACGAAGCATGTTGAATGTCGACGCTGCTTGATCCAGAGCGCCACGCAAAGCCACATAATTTGTTTGTGTGTGTGGAGGTTGAATGCACTTTCACTTTAGACAAAAGCATAACATAGCGCACACACACACCACACACACACACACACACACACACACACACA